CCGGGACGCCCGCCCCATACCCAGCCCCCCCCCGGGCCCGCACTCACGGCGGGGGTCCGTACGGCCCGCATTGGCCCCGTCGGTCCCCGCTCCGGTCCCGGTACCGGCCCCCGGCCCTGCCGCTCCCCGCGCGCTGCCGCCGCCGCCCGTTTGAAAAGCAGGCGCGGCTGCGATTGGCTGGCTGGGCGCACGCGTCACTGCTGCGGGGGCGGGGGTTAGAGGCGGGGCCGTGCCCCATTGGTGGATGGGGAGGTGGGCGGGGCTTCGCCCCCAACGGCGCCGCGCAGCGCCGAGCACGGAGCGTCCCGGGGCGGGGGGAACGGGAAAAGGCCCAGCTGCCCCCCCACCCTGGGGGTTCTCCAACACCTGGCCCGGGGGAACCGGCCCCCCAGACCCGCCCCGACCCAAAGGAGGGGGGACACCAGCCCCGTACATCCCCCTGTGGCGTGGCGTCTCCCTCCCGCTCCCCCTCCCTGGGTGTCCAACCTCCCTCTCCCAGGGGGTCCCACTCCCCCTCTCCCGGGGATCGCCCTCCCTGGGGGTCCCACTCCCCTCTCCTGGGGGTCCCGCTCCCCCTCCCTGGGCGTGCAGCTCCCCCTCTCCTGGAGGTCCCGCTCCTCCTCTCCTGTGTGTCTTGCTCCCCCTCCCCGGGGGTCCAGCTCCCCCTCTCCAGAGTGTCCCGCTCCCCTCCCCCAGGGGGTCCCGCTCCCCCTCCCTGGGTGTCCAGCTCCCCCTCTCCCAGGGGGTCCCACTTCCCTCTCCCGGGGATCCCACTCCCCTCTCACAGGGGGTCCCGCTCCCCCTCTCCCAGGGGTCCCACTCCCTTCTCCCTGGAGGTTCCGCTCCTCCTCTGCCGTGTGTGTGTCCCACTCCCCTCTCCCAGGGAGTCCCACTCCCCCTCCCTGGGTGTCCCGCTCCCCTCTCCCGGGGGTCCCGCAGGACTCAGGGCAGCCCCCTCAACGGTGCCCGCGGCTCTGGGGTTTATTGCTCCGCGGGGAGAGGTACAGCGTTGGGGTGAGGGGGGGACCCGGCCCAGCAGGGTCCGACCCACTGCTGGGTTTTGGGGTGGGGTGGGGGGGGTCCCTGAGCGATGTCCCCGGGGGTCCCAGCGGTGGCGGCTCAGCCAGGCCAGGGCCGGCCCGGGGTGGGGGGGGTGAGGTCGCAGTCGAAGTCGGCGAAGGTGGCGGGGTCGGGCGGGGAGGACTGCTCGGGGGGCCGGGGGGACACTGCCACCGCCACCGGGTCCTTCTGCAGCAGGTCGGCGTCGAAGGCCACCCCACGGAAGAAGGGGTGGCCCTGGAAGTGGTGGAGGTAGCGCAGGCGGTACAGGGGGTTGTGGCACAACAGCTGGGGATGGAGGGAAGACAGTGAGTGAGGGGGACCCCAGCATCCAGTCTTGGGGGGGCAGTGGGGACCCCAAAATCCCAGTGGCAGGGTTACCTCGGCGAGGAGCCGGGCCAGCGCGGGGCTGACCGTGGGTGGGCTCTGGTAGCTGCTCTGCTTGACCCGTTCCAGCATGGCCACATGGTCCCCCGCCGGCGCCACGGGGAACTGAGAGGGCAGGGAGTGAATTTAGGGGCTCCACGGGGTGCCCCTATCCCCTCTCTGCCCCCCCACTCCTCACCTCCCCACTAGCCAGGGCGAAGAGCAGGACTCCAAGGGACCACCAGTCGGCTGCGTGGCTGTAGGGCCCCCCACTCAGGACCTCTGGGGCTGTGGGGATGGGTGGGTGAGTGCCTAAAGGGGGGCTGTGACCCCCACTGCAGCCCCCCACTGCCCCCTTACCCATGTACTGCAGGGTGCCACAGATGGTGTGGGCTCTCTCGCCCCACCGCAGGTGCCGGGAGAGGCCAAAATCGGTGAGTTTGAGGTGTCCTGTGGGGTGAGACACTGAGTGGGGACACCACGGAGGGGGCATCCCCATGGATGGATGGGATGTCCCCCCCACCAGTGCCACCAGACTCTTACCTCTCTCATCCAGGAGGATGTTCTCCATCTGAAATGAGACAGGTACTGGGGTGGGCTCTCCATGCCGGAGGATTTTGAGACCCACCACCCCATCCTAAACCCCCCCAGCCCCACTGCCACCCACCTTCACGTCTCTGTGCACGATGCCCAGGTCGTGGAGATACACTGGGGAGAAGACAGAGCCGTCAGAGCGGTGGGTCCCCCCCCAGCACATGGCACCCCCATGGCACCCAGCAGGCAGCTGCCCACTCCTGAGGACAGGCTGACCCTGCCTGCAGGTCCCCGTTGGTGGGGACAGTGGTGGCTTGTCCCCAACGTGCTGGGCCACTCACCCAGCACCAGCACCAGCTCGGCGGCAAACAGGCGGACGGTGGCCTCGGCGAAGCGCCCGGCGGCGCGCCACAGGGCGTGCAGGTCTCCGGTGCTGCAGTAGGTGCACACTGCCGGGACGGTCGAGGTGCCTTACCGACGGGCTGGCACGAGGGGCACGGGGTGGCACGGGCACAGGGGATCAGGTGGGTCACTGGAGCCATGCACCAAGGTGACATGGGCACCAGGGCCGTGCACCAGGGTGGTGCAAGCACTGGGGCCCGTAAGGACAGCGAGGTGGCACAAGCACCAGGACCAC